CACAACTTATGTCGATGGAGTATTAAACATGAAATCGTTTTTTGCTGTACAGGGCACAACAATATTCTTTTTCAACAAAAAGGCTCAACAATACTTTTTAACCCTTTAGAACCTGAAGCTAAAATAGGTGTTTTTCTCACATTTTGATTTTTTGACTGTAAAATTCTAAAACAATGTGCTATCTTCATGTGCAAGGTGTCATCTTTTTCAGAAAAAAAGTTATTGACCATTGTTGTGTGTGGTGAGTTTGTAAATAGAATTTAAATAGACAAAAATAAAGCCATGTGCTTTTTTTATTCATTTTGCTTTGAAGTGTGAATTCCATCTCATCTCATTAGTTCTGTTAACTCATATGGGCCCCGGATAATGAGCCTTTTTTTAGACTTGATATATGTAGGTATAGTCTGTGTGATATTTCAGGTCCGATAATCTGGCAAAGTGACAGTGAATTCCTTGAGCCACATGACCACATAACACTGGCTAACACTCAATCCAGCCTCTTCAAAGCTCAGAGAGGCTCTTACAGGCCAGCCAGAGAGTGCAAATCACACCAGCAATGGCAGCTATGTGACCTCTGGAGTGACTTTAGAGTTGTGTGAGCTGGTCTATGAAGGCCGACGGGAAGTTTGTGACACCTGTGAGTGAGGACAAGCCTATCAAACAGACCCCCTCAAATCTGCCCTCCAGACCCAGTCTTTTACCCGCAGTGACTAACGGAAGAAAGCAGCCGATAAGCTCTCCGCGACTGCATCGATGCCTATTACACTAGCCGATCTAGTGAACTTTAATGACATTTAAATGCAATTTTAAAGCCGCAGGAAAAACAAATGGCTTTTGCATGTGCTATTTTATGTGTGATTAATATTGACTGATAGAACAGTTGTGACACTGAATGCAAGATTAAACATATTTAGTTTGCCCACTTTGTCATTATACACAAAGATTAGAAAAAGGGGAAAATACATAATGTGAAACACTTTAAAAAAGGCATATTTGTATTTGAATGAGATGTCGGCACAAAACCATTAGATGGGAGAAACAACGGTACTATATATTCACAATTTGACCTATTGTGGGGAATGCAACATGGTAAAAACTTTACACAGTTTTTGGTTGTTTGTCATTTCAGTTTTTGGTAACACTTTATTTTACAGCATCCTTATTGCACATGTTACACGTTCCCTGTAGTAATAACAGGAAATTATGCATAATTGCATGCAACTAACCCCAAACCAAACACTATTCCTAACTTTAACCCTATACGTCATTAATATACTGAAATGTCCTAACAAGGACACAATAAAATGTAACCTAATTGAAATTTAATTTGTAAAATGTAATAATAATTCGAATTAGAATTGCATGGCTTGAGTAGCATGTATAACTGTGTTAGATCTGCAGTTTAGAGCCAACCTTCAAGCTGTATTTTGCGTCAGCATTTCACTCTTCAGACCTCAGTTGAGGCCAGTAAAACTATACAGTAATTGCTTTTTATTAATTAGCTTCCTGCCAGATTAATTAAGACCAAATGTTACTGATGATACAGCCAGGACAGAAAACACACAGGCGTGGGCCAGTGTTAAGCCGCGTTTCCACCGCAATTGCCCGGAACAATTTGTCCCAGGAACTTTTTTCCCAGGAACTTTTTTTGCCCCAGACCGGTAGCTTTCTGCGTTTACATCGCGGTCTAAAGTACCGGGTAAACTGCGCGCGACTGCTCATTGCTTGCTTGTGACGGACAGTAGACTGTAAAAGACAGTAATCAGTTTTGAGCGCCACATTTATAATAAATATGGAAGAGATTCACACTGTGCTGCAGTTGTTTGAGATGTATTGGTTTACTAACCAGGTAATTAACAAAACGGCAGAAAAGAGACGAGCACTGATACTAAAGCGTGTTCAGAAAGCTCGTAATGCTAACGTTAGATCTAAAATTAGACAGCGTATGTTATCAGCTATTGCGGACATTGACCGTGAGAAGGCTGGGACGAACGCGCAGAAAATTTCTCTTCCGCAAATACGCTTAATAAAGCCTGAATCTCGTCGTCGGTCCAGCTGCCTTTTTTATTTTTATTAAATTCCATATTTGCAGACAGACAACTCTTACTGCATGGAACTTCATTACTGCATGAAGCCACGAACTGCAATAGATTCTAAAAATTCCGGTTAAAATAAAATGCTGCGCGGAGTTATCCAATCATAATGCGGCGTGAACACAACCAATCAGCATGTTCAGCGCACAAGCCCCACCCGCGAAAGTTCCTGAACTTTGAAAAAGTACTACCTCGCGAGCAGGGACTTTCGGAGGGGGAAATATCTACCCGGAACTTCATTTAGACCCTGGTTCCTGCGGTGTAAACACACCGAGTACCAGGCCAAAGTTCCTAGTTCCTGGGTAAAGTTCCTGCGGTGGAAACGCGGCTTTAGAGAGCTACTAATGATGTGCAAATATATTTACCGTGTCCTTTGCTCCCAGGGGTGCGCGTGTGTCACTCTTATTTAAAGGTCTGCAGTTTGGGGTCCAGAGGGAAATGTGGACAAACGTGTCTGATAAACAAGCGTCTGTTCTGTTAAGAGCTGTGAAATCTGATGTCCAACATGGTTTATTTTTGTTCTTGAAGTGGGCCTGTTTGATCCATGTGTTATTATCTCCTCCCATCGAATTCCTGGATCACGCTTTACCATAGTTACGCTGTGAATTGTATTGTATTTTCAACACCAATGTTCAGTGCATTACGTATATAATAATAGGCCTAATAATAAAATAATAACATACAGTAGCTTTTATTTATTTTGTTAATGTTTCGTAAAATCGTGTTACGCGAAACTGTTTGTGTGGTTGTTAGAAACACAAGAAAAAAGATAATCGAAAAGAAAACAGTAGATCAAATCTGATGATTGACAGAGCCAGTGAACAAATAAAACACACTAATTGGTCAGTGAAAGATCTAAATCTTTTCGCCTTTTTCTCCTCCTTATTCGGTTAATATGTTCTGTTAAAGTCTATTACCACCGCTGGACGTCCCTGTCCCTTAAGACGAAACATAAATATATAAATAAAGGGAAAAAACGGAGCCATCAGCAGAGGTTTGCGCAGGTCGATAAAGCTTTTAGATTTGGAGATGTTTTCTATTTCCTGCGGCTAAGAGTTGTTAATAGAGCTTAAGGAATTATCTTATGGCTCTGTGTTTTGAGAGCAGTTTATTTCAGGGGCCCCTGTGTCCCCTATCGAGTCTGAAATGCTGCTGTCAAAGGCGCTTAATGAAAAGTAACGCGTCGCTGATTACAGTTTGAATCGGTTTCTATGTAAAAGCGCCGTTAATTCAGCATCATCTCTCTCTCTCTCTCTCTCTCTCTCTCTCTCTCTCTCTCTCTCTCTCTCTCTCTCTCTCTCTCTCTCTCTCTCTCTCTCTCTCTCTCTCTCTCTCTCTCTCTCTCTCTCTCTCTCTCTCTCTCTCTCTCTGTGTGTTTGTGTGTGTGTGTGTGTGTTTGACACGCCTGAATGAGTTAGTCAAACCATCACACCTCCTCCACAGCTCTCTCTCTCTCTCTCCCTCTCCAAACCCTGCTTTACGATAGGAAAGTTTCTTGAAACAATATTCGTATACACTATACATAATGTTTTATTATTCGATGTGCAAATGGTATTATATTCTGTTCTCCATTTTTCTTTGATATTTTGCGTTCTGCTCTGTAATATTTTTCTTTTTTAATTTTCAGAAATAATCTGAATCTCTTATCATTTTACATTATTATTATTATTATTATTATATATTTGTATGAGTAAATTACTAAATGATTAAGTATTAATAAATATGGCATTTTATATTTTTTTATATTTTTTTTGTGTGAAAAAATAATGTTCTTTAATGGGGTTCAACACCAACACCACCATTTGTTGTGCATTGCGTTGTACAGACAAAACACGTTTTTTCAAATGTCTTTGTCCAGGGAGAAGATCTCAATCGTTTGGCTTTCACATTGAAATTCATCACTGAAGCCCCTCTCAACGGACCCCAGTCCTCCAGGGGCCACACTTTCACCATCACTGTCAACTCCTGCCTTTGACTGCGTGTTTTTGCCCTTTTATCTCGACCAACTAATTCTCTTGCCCTTTTCACTTAGAGACGCGCCCCGGTGAAAAAGCCTCAGAGTACAGAGAACCTCCACAAATTGAGGGGTCTATGTCAAGATGAACATTTCGAATGATCTCGCCTTCTAACCATATAAACGGCCTGTCTGGATAACTCAGGCCATCTCAAGTGTTGGGTCAGGGTAAAGGATTTGGTGCTTCGATAATATTATCAGAGGGAGAGAGAGTAGAAATCAATAGAGTGAAGTGAATGATGACTGAAAACATCCCAATTACAGTCTGGTTATGGCGGGTTAATGGAGCTCATCCAGCGCTGTCTTATGGCTCCTGAGGGCCTCATCTCTCCCATCAGAGGACGAGGGGGAATGATAAAGAGTTATTGAGGAATTATTACAAAGCCAAACACAGTAAACACGAAACAATCACTGTGGAGAACAGCACATGCATTATTTAGAGTGGACAGTCGGGCCATTTGTATTGTTATGCCATTACTTTGACATAATGAAATGACTTTAAAAAAAAAAAATCAGAAATCTGTATAGTTAATGTAATGATGCCAAATTACGGCAGGATAAAAATCCTTTCATGGTGCAACCCTTTAGTGATAAATACAAATAAAGCTTAAATTACTATCACTAAATCACTAAATGTAGCCAATTTAATTGTGAGCAAAGCTGCGTCTGTTCAGCACCAGGGACAGCGACTCTGATCGATACACAGAACAAAAGCTTCGGAAAATGGACCGTTTATTGTAGTGAGCAGATTTCAACATTCCCCAGTTTCGAGGAGATATGTGCATTTGTGCGATACTTTCTTAACAGTGACACTTGTGAGTCGTTGTAACAAGGTCCGAGTTCGTCTAAAAGAATAATCATTAAAAAAACATAGGCATGCCAAAGAAACAATAAAAGCCGAAACCAAACTAGGCTGTAAACTTTTCTTTTTTTTCAATCTTTCAGAACATAAACCATTAATTTACATAATCTGAACGTGCGTCAACCTAACCAATAAATATATATATAAACCAATCCCTTTTGTGGGACCATCGCCAGTGAGATGTCAACACAGCAATAAATACATACATTTTCCCATGACAGCGCAACAATTGTATGTAACAAAACGTATTTGGGCCCATCGATTCACAGTCTGACATTTGTTATCTGTTGCGTCTGTAAACTGAAAATCGTAAACGGCTATTCCAAACAGTCCTCCTCGCTTTTGAGGATTATTGGTGTGCTAGGAACAGAATATTTTATTCACCCCCTTTGGAAATGTCATACTGTCCTTACTGGCATCTTGCTGCTGTGTTTTTATCACGTTGCTGTTCCCTACGGAGCGTCCAAGGGCTCCAGTCTCTAAGATTGAGCCTTTAGTCGTGGTGGTCCAAGAAACTGTAGTGTTCGTCTGTGCTTGGTTTAAGGAGCTGTGTCTGAACAAGGGGTCGTGAAAAACTCCATCTACCCAGTTTCTGAGAGTCGTAACAGGTGAATCCTGCTGTCTTTCCAGGCCGTTTACAGGTGAGGAGGCGGAGGGTGATGGTTGACATCTAAGCATACATGAGGAGTACTCTGTCGGGTTCAACGAGGTCGCGGTCTGGGCCAGAGACCAGATGCGGGGTTTGCTGTCCAGTAATGGATGGCCCTGCTGCTGGAAACACGTTTTGACGTGCCGAAGGTCGTGTTCGCAGTCTTCGGATGTGGATTTCAAGCAGCTTTTGGTGAGATCACGCTCAGCTTCGAGCAGACCGGGAATGGAGAGTTTTGGCGATGGTTCTTTGATGCGATCATCGGTGGTCGCCATGTGCGCGTTCATGTGAAAGCGGTGTTTGAGTTCACACTCTGAGCTCTCAGACTCGATGGTGTCAAAGTCGTCCAAGTCACTCAACTGAAGTTCTTTGTCTTCTCGACTTTTGCTCTCTGTTAAAAAACAAAAGTGATGGGAAGTAAATATAGAGCAATAAACAAGCATAAATTGCTACAAATATTTTAAAAACACACACCCAAAACAGGCTAATGCTTTGATTAATATCTTTCATGAAATAGTTTTATTAAACTTAACAAATAGTACGTTATTTTACAATAAAATAGTAAGAATGTGATATTTAAATCAACGTTTGATGTGAAGAACATTTTAATACTTTGAAAAAAGTTTTCCAATGTAATGAACTTTTTTTTTTTTACAGTGATGCCTCTCGCCAGACTTTTTGTGCTGGCGCTTTTCCAGACAGCTAAGGCAGACGAGTTTAACTTAAAAAAATTAATATAGCAATTTAAAAAAAAAAAATCGGACCCATTGATTTGTGAAGAATGTAATGGGACTGACCGTCATCATTGGTTTCACTTTTGATTTGATCTTCTTGTGACCCATCCTCATCATCATCGTCATATTTCTTATCGTCTGAGCCCTTGTTTCTTGGTGGCCATGTCATCTTGTTCTCTTTCTTGAGTCTTCTTCTGGCGTTGGCGAACCAGGTGGACACTTGCGTGAGGGTCATCTTGGTGATGATGGCCAGCATGATCTTCTCTCCTTTGGTGGGATAGGGGTTTTTCCTGTGCTCCTGGAGCCATGCTTTCAAAGTGCTCGTCGTCTCGCGTGTGGCGTTCTTTCTTCTAGTCCCTCCTTCCATAGATCCATATCTGTGATATGAAAGAAAGAAACGTACGTTGTTGTGGTAAAAGTTGATGCAAATGTTTTTGCAGTGCATAGAAATTCAAGGACTTTATGTTTTATGTTGTTTCCATAAGCCATGCATCGCGTTTATTTTAGAAGCATAACAGAGCGTACAAATTGCTTGATCGAGTGCACACAGACTGCACCGGCCAAGTATCTGGCCATTAAAGCACTTCAGGGGAAACCCTGAAGGGCAAACTGTCAAGAGCATGATATAACATAAAATATGCATCAAAGAAAGTGACCTGAAATTTGTTTATTGAAAAAGATCCATTAAATGCTTTTGTACGTTTATAGGGTGATTGCGCTAATTATTCCATCAATATGTTGAACGCGGCCTATGAAATTGATCCAAATGAACTGAGTCCTGCCCTTGTTAATTGGCAATCAGAAGACTCTAATGAAGGCCGCTATTCAATACCTGTCATACTGGTACTGTCCCAGGGAGGGATCATATGGGTAATATGCGGCAGCCTGTGTAATTCCCGCATGCGCAGACGCACTTCCATCTTTGGCATCAAATGTTCCCTGAAAATAAACACAAGACCTGTCAGTAATGACATTCATGCGATTCAACTTTACATTTATGATGCTTGTCATGATAATAAGGTTCTTGCTAACATTGTTTTCAGGTGCAATATATGATGCCAATTACCATTATCCTAAAGTCAAACTTGGACCTAATATAATATAAAAATTGAACTGTACAAATGCATCAGTTCTGCAATCATTTATTCAGTAGGTACTAAATAAATATAAGTTTAATTTGCTGACATTTGAAGAATTTTATAAACGTTCCTTTTTCTCACATATAGAAACACATTCGTTATACAGAATTGCGTGGATCTTAACATCATGATTAATTGTTTGAATGCATGCTATTATTCTAATGCATAATTGGATATGTTTTAAACTCACCAAAGAGTAGAAAGCGGAGGCGTCAGCTCCATAGGTAACATAATTCCCATAGCCCTGACTGCTCGTGTACGGGTTCCCGTAGACTCCCAGCGCAGCGGCGGAGCTCAGCTCGTGCCTGGCGGTGGCCAACAGTCTGCTCTCATACACGGGACAGTACACGGGCGTCTGCGCGGACGAATCCGAGATGGACCTGGTGCTCGACTCGCAGCAAGATGTCAAAGAGTTGGTGGTCATGAGGAACTGGAATGATTTGGAAATGTCACAGGATAAATAAAACCAACCTGCATACCTCGGGAAAATGTGTCCAAATGTTTCCAAAAATGCAGTGAAAGTTCTTTTTTTTTTTGGCAGTGCCCACAGTCAGCCCCCACAGGACAATGCATTTTATGGATCATGGCCAAAAACAACTGTTGTCCTCCTTCCCCCTGTCATCACATCTACACTTTTGCATGTGTCTGTGACTCGAACGCGTGTTAGTAGATTTATAAAATGATAAGCGCAGAGGGAAGCCCTGAATTGCATCGCAGAAATCCGATTAAACCTTTATCTTTTTGTCTTATCACTCGCATTTAACCCCGCAGCGCACATGAGCGCGATTCCCATTTGAAGTTCACATTTGAAAAAATCTGAATCAATGCAACAATAAGTGCGCGATAACGACTCTTACCTGAGGTGCAGAAGAGTAAGGATATCCGAATTGAGGATAGGACATTGTAGAGTGATCCCCGTTTCCCCGAAAGCAGGCGAGACTGCAGGTCTGCTGTGTTTCACTGTACCGATTGATTGGTAAAGCATAAAGCTGCCGGACGCTTATAGGGCGAAGCGCAATACTACCATGTTTAATTTGCTTAAACGCCTTCCTGAGGATGTTCAATAGATGCCCAGTTTGGATGCTCTCTCCTATCGCTCTATTAAACTTCTACAACACTGCCGCGCACATCGTAAAGCATTTGGCGAATTGCCGCCTTTGATGACAGAAATACATATTTTGCGTTATAAAAACTAGTATTAAACACGTCAGCCCAGATGCGGGTTGTTTTAAACGCCGGTGGCTCTGACGTCAGAAGAAACCCAGTCAAAATGACCAGACTCAAACTTTAATATGCATTTCTCTGGATAAAAATCCCAACGAGTGACAGGGAGGTGGGGGTGGAATTTTAAGGCACAATGGGCTTGTAATTGAGCTTATCAATTAAACTGAGCTTTGAAAAGAGATCGCAATACTAAAATGTGACACTATATCGGTTTAGCAAGCGCCTTATCATCTCAATTTATCAGAATTTCAATACATAATCCGGTGGTTTGCCCACATTAATAAACACTTACACTTTTTAGTTACCTGTTATAGAAAATTGAGAAAGAAAATTCGAAAACTCATAGTTCAGATATTATTAGACGTATTTTGGCTTCTCGTGGATTGAAATTGTGTTGTGAGCAGTTAATTCAAACTAACGCGCCACAAATGAGATATATTCAAATTAATTTATTTTAGTGCATAGGACCCTGGAAGTACAATACTTATATAAAAGTGCTCTATTTATTTTTTGTACGTAGCCTATATAGAGTTCAATATTTTATCACTGAAATAATGGAAATAATCTCCAATATAAACATGTTTTGCGAGGTTTAATAAAATTGTTTTATGTGATAACATCAGCACGATAACATCTATCTATCTATCTATCTATCTATCTATCTATCTATCTATCTATCTATCTATCTATCTATCTATCTATCTATCTATCTATCTATCTATCTATCTATCTATCTATCTATCTATCTATATCTAAAGCCTGTGCATATGTCTGTTCATGTAAAGGTCTTCATTTCACCATTGAGAGTGATGAAAGTGTAGGTGCACCATGGTGTGTTGCTGACTCGCTTAGAGAAGCCCAGGTTCAGACATGTGAGAAGCCCCGGGGTCACAGTCAAATTAATGATGATGTACTTCTCTTTTCCCCAGCTGGAAAACTGCCTGCAAGAAACGAATCTGCCCGCAGTGACAGCTCGATTGCGGGTGATTGATGACTATCTTGAGACCGGCCAACATAATATAATATGGACCGCATAATTGCTTTCATTTACAGATGAAGGTACTTGTCGTTAAATTGAGTTAGACTTTTATCAGGCAAGTTTTTTCACCCTTTCCTTCTCCTTTGGCATGCACTTGAGTTTGGAGAATAAGTGTTCTGTGAAATTAAATTAGTCAGACAATAAGCGAGCAAATGTCGGCGTGTGTGTGTTAATAGACGTGAGGTCAAGTGACTGACCCAATCTGGCTCAGCATTGAATTTTCATTCATTTACTAAGTGACGATTTGAGTGTTTTTTTCTTCTCATGGAAAAAAGTTGTTAATCTAAGCAAAAGCTATTAATCTAAGTAAATAATAACCTACATTATTTGAGAGGACATATATATATATATATATATATATATATATATATATATATATATATTCGCATAGACTATACGTTCATATTTTAACATGCTCAAAAGCGCGCGCACTTGGAGTCCTTTTCTTTCTCCCTGAAAATAACCCGTGACATTTTATCTCAAGTAACATCAACTCTATGATTGATTCCTCCTCACACACACTAGACTGCAGTGAAAACAGGTAATGCATCCGTGAAGTTTGATGGGCAAGTCTACAATAGCTTTCTGTATACATTTACATTACTTTTTTTTTTTTGTTCTTTTTTTTTTTTTTGCTGGTGTTATTTGGGTCCCTATTAAATATTAAGACGCACTAGTATAAGCTTTTAGAGGATAATGAAGTCTGCGCAAGAATTCCTGCTCTTGTTTTTCGTTAAAGATTTAAACGAGGCTCGGCTCTTTTGGACAGATGGATAAGATATGACGGGGTGTATTTACGTTCAAAACGAAAGCAATGCTTGCAGAGATGCAGTCTGAGACATTTAAACATGATTTAAGAATAGCTTTGCACAATGAGACAAGTTTTGCCAAATCCAAATATCTGATCGGATAAGCAGGATACTTGAATGCATAAATCTAGCACTAACGTCTCATCAGAATTATAAGCTGGGTGAATTACACCTTGAAAGGACATGGCATCCTTTTGTTGTTTCCGACAAAACCAAGCGCAAATCAATCACCGGACGGCATGTTTCAACACCTCCTCCTCTTTCTCCTCCTCCTCCTCCTCCCTCGTCCAGCTCAGAGAAATCTGGCTATACAGGTCTATACATCTCACAGGTACACACTTTAGTCATGTATCCTTCTCCAGCAGGACGACGCCCATTACAACCATTGCAAATTGATTTAATTTGGGCAAATAAAATGCAATTACCGAAGAAATTATATGGTTTGAACAAATTTATATAAGGAGCAACAATGAGAGATTAAAACATGATGCTGAAGTATCAGTTGGCACATGAAATCTGTATCTCTAAAGAAAATGTTCCTTCACTTGAAAAAACAGAAAACAAAAAAAAACTTAAACTTAGAAAAAGGATGCTTGGATGTGGATGATTGTGATTATTACAATTGATCAGATGAATTGATGAACGCTTTTCAAGATGTATTTTTGAATGCTCCTCTGACTCTATACTTAACATTATGAAATATTTGTCTGTTTTCATCACATACATTTTTTTTTTATATATATATACAGATGGTTATTATCCAGAATATAATGTCATTATAATAAAAAATAAATAAAAACACTTTAGAAATAAATAAAACAAATCAACATGAACAACAGCGAGGAATATGTTACTTCAGTTTAGACAATGTTAAAACTCATTACATTTATTCATTTTTTTATATATGGGGTCTCCGATATGCTTAACAGCAGCTAATGCAGCCTTTTTATGTTCTTTTTTTTTTTTTCAGACAATGTTTAAAGTGTGTTAGCAAATGTTTATTTAATTTACAATCAGTTCTCCTACATGGAAAAGTATATTCCCAAGCTAACAAATGGGCATTGGGTCTTATACACCACTGGTCTGTGTAAATGTTCATCTGAGGAAGTGTGAGGAGATGATTTGTGATGCAGTCTGAGGCAGGCTCCACATTCTCCTGTAAGTGCCTTGACAAGTTCATACACTTCTATTTTAAGTCTCTTCATGGTGAAGCAGATTAGAGCCCTTCTGTTCCGAGCGCAAGGCATTCAGCTTCATCTAACGCACCAGTTCACCGAAGGTTCCCAATGAAATTTAGTCTCGCAAGCGAGGATATTCGTCTTTATTTTCAGGAAATTGCTGAAATTACAACATTTTCCCTCGGCCCAATTTTTAATTGCATGCTTTGTTTTTCTGTCCAATATTGGTCAACCGTAAATAATAGCCGGTTTGCAGACAACACTTCAAAGTTGTATTCGGTCTAGGATGAGACAGGTGCAGCTGATGATCCAGGAATGACATCATGCCGCGAGCAGCTCCCAGGCTGTCTGCAGATAAAGTTCCTGTGCAAGAGAATCGGCTTCTACGGTACATGCATATCTTAACCTGCCTCTTCTGACTCTATCCAGAGCCAGGCATGCATTAACTGATTTATGATTTAACCCAAGATAAATGCGTTTGTTGTAATCGCTGGACTGTATTATTGACACAGTGCATGGTTGTGTTATTCTCTGAAGAGTAGCTGGAGTTGTGTTCTGGAAGTTTTTTCGTTTTCCCTTCTATGAGTGACAAATTAGAGAAAACACTAATAACTGCTGCAAAGAAGTGAGGCCAGTGACTACAGGGAGTGGAAAATAAATCAAGCAACATATATTGCGGTACGCAGTGTTCTGGCACACAAATAAACCCCCAAACGTGTATGGAATTACAATCGATGAGCATTTTCAAGCTTAAACCACAAAAAAATGCACTGCATTTATTTGAGCTTTTTGATGAATAGATTAGTAGGGGTGGGTTAAAGGTCAGGGGCTGTTTAGTCTGCCCTGGATGTAAGGTAAACACTGTAAATTGCTTAATGGATCTATGGATGAAATGCATGTTTTGTTTTCTGCTATGATTTATAAAGATATTGGGTAACACTTTATTTCAGTGGTCCACTTTAGAAGTAACTCTGCACCTACATGCCAACTAACTCTCATTAGAGTATTAGTAGACTCTCTGCTTAATATCTGATAACTCTTTATCTAATCACTATAAGTAATCTGTAACTATATTTTTAACTTTGTAAATTTGTAACTTATCCTACTTACCCGAACCCTCACAGTCATAATGAAAGACACACTTTTGATAATTACTCTTGAACAGTCAAGATGTTTCATTTTTTAAATGCCCGTCTCAGTTATGTGCATCTGTGGCAGTTCAATAGATATTTAGGCAGCTAAATAAAGAATGTGGAAAACCGAAGACTTCTCAGTTCAAGGATCTACTTGTTTACTGCTAACAGTCTAATGCTCTACTAATGCTCTTATGTGAGTTAGTAGACATGTAGTTGACACATTGCTTATAGTTAGTAGAATGTCTAGGGTTGGCCATCAAAATAATGTGTTGCCAGATATTAGGTTACACTTTAGTTTAAGGTGTCCGTATTACAGTGTAATTAGGTACTATTAACTATAGGATTAGGGTTTGGTTGAGGGTTAGTTGCATGTAATTATGCATCATTTATAGTTATTACTATTTAGTAACTAAATGTATCTGTAAAAAGGACACTGTGAAATAAACTGCATGCAATTTCAAAATATTGCCGTTTCAGCCTTCATCTGCGTGTGATGTATCAGAGCCTCTATAATGTGGGTCAAAAGAAAGTGTCAATTGTTTCATCATGTCTATCTTGGACAATCAAAGGCTCTGTGATGCTCCACGCGGAGAGCCGCGGTTATGAGGAGCTGGAAGAAGCTTTTCTCCTCTTCTCCGCTGCAGTGGCTAAGAGGTTTAGCATGTTGCTGTTCACTCTCCATGCATTATTGATCAGAAGGGTCAGTACGCTCACTCTTTGCTCAGTTAAGCCCGGGTAGGTGTTCCTCAAACAGCTAGTTAGGGATGCAAACACTCTGCTGAGAGCATCTGAGGATCTGTTTTATGGGCATTTTAAATGATCCTATACCCCTTTTTTATAGTGCACAGATACAATGCACAGTAAATAATGTGTTAATTCTTCATCAGTTGATTATCATCATCA